TTTATGATGCGGATAAAACACCAAGACTACTAGGCCCTATATGTCGCATGTATTGTAGTGATTTGCTCTCCACCAGTCTGTATGTGACAATTTAGTGCAACGGCATAGCGATATGTGTGAGGCAGAATAATAGTTGACCAAGACGCATCACTTTCTCGATTTGACAGTGCCTACTGCACATCATGTTAGTGAATCTAGGAACAGGGAACACTTTTTGCTCAGAGGCCCGCTTTCTAATTTGTCCCTAAGCGATGATCAGTGTGTTCGCTTCCATTGTGCTCGCATTTGACCGGGCCATCAGTGAGGTGCCTCTCAAGCTAATTATAGCGAGAAATGTGCTAACCTTCTATCGTTTAGAGGGAAGGTGTTAAGCACAAAGATAGAAGCTAGATGATGATATGCTAATCCATTCTGCACTACGATACCAAAATCTGAAATTGAGTAAGGAAGTGATTTTAGCTTTAAGACTTCCTTTAATCAGACTAAAATAAGCAGGAGTATTTACAAGCTGTCCTTGCCGCCCCACCTTTATTTAAAGCTGGTAAATCTTGTGCAGGAAAAGCTGTGGGTGATACATAAAAGATTATTGTTGCCGATGATGACAAATCTCTCTATGGTAGTCAGAACATTTGTAAAAAGTTGTGGGTTAGCATTCATTGGTTTTTTTTTTGACTGTTAGTTTTAGGCTGTGAATTTCTTCCGTATGTTGTACTTAAATTTTGAATCACTTTCCATCTTTTAGGTCGATATTTTTGACTTACAGCTGACTGACCAAGTTCACTTATTGCCCATCAATAGTATGACAGAAGGATGGAGTAAAATGCCACACAATGGCAAAATGAGCCAACATCGCACGTTGCAAGCTGATTCCATGGATGAAATATGACTCCCTACAATAACTACAAAACAGGGATGCGATTCTCTTCATTTCTTTGCTGAACGAGAATGTTCTATCTTCTTTTTCTTCTTCTTCATCTCCCGTGTTCTGTAAACGCCGAATATGGTGGCTGAGTGTAGAGATACACCCCACAGATACATAATCCTTAAGTAGTTTTTACCATCTTGAAGCCGACATGGGCAGGATACCCACTTATTTAATTCCTTTTGGCTATCCTTTAATCTGACTAAGGATATTTTCAACTTCAAATTTTCCTTCTTATTTACTGTCCGACTTTGACCATAACGCCTCTCTCCCGTATGACAAGCGCTGTGCTGCTTCGCACTTTGCTTAGCTCAAAGAAGATAAGAATACGTTTTGCCGTTTACATGCATACAGTCGTGAAGCAAGCCTGCTAATCAGCTTTCAGGTCATAATAAGTAGTCATATTTATAAGCAGATGTAATTGAAGCACATTCATCAACTTTCATGTGAACCCCTAGTACACATGCAAGCAGTCGACCTTCTTGATCCCACCTGTTCCAGGGTCATAAATGGTCTCCTTGCTACACTCTGCTTTCCAATGAAGGGCGAGTTTATTCAGACGATTTCGCTGCC